AAATTGCTTCGGAGGAGGGGAGAGAGAAATTGAAGAAGTTGCCTACTTCAAAGATTAAGGAAATCTGTGCAAAGTGGTTTGAAGTGCAAACCTTCATGGATGAAAATCACCCTCAGTCAGCTATTGCAAGCCGTGCTGGTGACTATTACACTGACACTGTTGTGAAACACTTTAGGAAAGTCATAAAGGAACTAGAGGTACAGGCCACTATGGACATACATGTTGTGCGACAGAAGTCCAGTGACTCTGAAGCTGGTCCTAGTGGCATTAAAAGAAGAAGGGAAGCAACCCCGGAAAAGGACTTGACACCTCAAGTCCTAATGGAAGGGGATTCCCCTTCTAAACACTAAAACCATCCAGTCTCCCCTCCTCCCATCCCATCAATCATCACCACATCTTCAATAAAGGTAAGTGTCATGTAACTGTGCATGTTTTCTTAAGTTTGTGTATTAAAATTAATATTTCATGTGGTAAAAAAGTTTTTTTTCATACTTTTGGGTGTCTTGCACGGATTAATTTGATTTCCATTATTTCTTATGGGGAAAATTAATTCGCATAACGATAATTTCGCATAACATTGAGCTCTCAGGAACGGATTAATAGCGTTATGCGGGGGTCCACTGTATTAGTTTCAGAACAAACATTGGCTATGAAATCACAAGGACTACTTTAAATTGTAATTATCAGAACATAAAAATTATATAAATTAAAACAAAAATGAGAAAAAAGGTATATCAGCAACATTTCTGCAAGTGGCATTACTCCATGTTGCCCTCAGGTGAGCATCCATCACCAACTTCACGGCCTCACATCTCGGGAAGTGTTGACCCTAGATTTTTTTTTTTTTTGTTTTTTTCTTATTACACAGAAAATTGCCCTCTATAATTAAAAAAAAAAACTTTTTCCAAAATATTTGGAGTGCTAGCAGGGAAAATGTAGATCTACATTTGGGCAGTTTAACCCCTAAATGGTCCAAACATATATATACGTTCTTACGCATAGCGCCCCAAACGTATATATACGTTTTAATTTTCCTGCCTCCAAATTTTGCACGATTGGCTTGAGATGCCTGGTCAGCATAGAATTGGTCTTAACACTCGGTGTGCACAGTATTAAAAAAATCTGGGACCACTTAGTACCTTGTGGGAGCGCTAGTTAAATTGAGCGCCAGCTAGAGCACAGTGCGGCAAACACCAAGGATTCACTGATGTAATATATTAACACTCCTCTTTTAGGAGGAAAGTCATGTTAACCCCAAGTTTAGGGTCTGACGATCTGTCTCTCTCTCTATCTGTCTCAGTCTATCTGCGTCTCTGTCTGTCTCTGGCTTTGTCTATCTGTCTCTATCTCTTTCAATCTGTCTTTGTCTATCTCTGTCTCACAGGTACACATAAATACAAGTATACGTAGTATAAATTACCTAGGATAACCCAAAAATCCAGACAAAGTGTTATAGTCTGCTTGAAGATGTGAGTAAATGTGATGTGATGACGCAGTCTTGTGGCTCTCTGAGACAGAGCTTGACAGACAGACAAATACAGATAGAAATGTTTGTGTACCAGCAAAAACAAAGGGAGGGGGATGATCATCTAATATTTTCTTATCAGCTGCACCCTCCCTCACCCTCGTGTATGCTCATCAAACTTCAGCTCTTATAAGAACATAAAAAAGAAGGAACACTGCAACAGGCTTAACTGACCCATGCAGAGCAGGTCCATGTACCCACCCCCCCCCCCCCCCCCCGAACTAGACCAATGACCCACCCAGTCTGGTCATCCCCACTCAAGGATGGAGCACTGTTCCAGACCCAGCAGCGCAAGCTAGTCAGGTCCAACTCACACCCACTCACGTATTTATCTAACCTATTTTTAAAACTACACAACGTTTTAGCCTCAATAACTGTACTCGGGAGCTTGTTCCACTCATCCACAACTCTATTACCAAACCAGTACTTTCCTATATCCTTCCTGAATCTGAATTTTTCCAACTTGAAACCATTGCTGCGAGTCCTGTCTTGGCTGGAAATTTTCAGCACACTATTTACATCCCCTTTATTTATTCCTGTTTTCCATTTATACACCTCGATCATATCCCCCCTAATTCTACGCCTTTCGAGAGAGTGCAGATTCAGGGCCTTCAGTCTATCCTCATAGGGAAGATTTCTGATACGTGGGATCATCTTTGTCATCCTCCTTTGTACGTTTTCCAGAGCATTTATATCCATTCTGTAATACAGTGACCAGAACTGAGCAGCATAGTCTAAATGAGGCCTAACCAAGGATATATAGAGTTGAAGAACAACCTGAGGACTTCTGTTATTTATACTTCTAGATATGAAGCCAAGAATTCTGTTAGCTTTATTGCGAACACTAATGCACTGTTGTCTTGGTTTTAGGTTACTGCTAACCAGAACTCCTAAAATCCTTTTTGCAATCGGTAGTATTTAAAAACTACATTATTTAGTTTTGTATGTGGCATGGTTATTTAACTGTCCAACATTTAGAACTTTGCATTTGTCAATATTAAGCTGCATCTGCCACTTCTCCGATCACTGCGTCAGTCTATTCAAATCATCCTGGAGTGCTCTAATGTCCTCATTAGAATGAATTGAAGGCCTGTTTTGGTGTCATCAGCAAATTTGCTTATGTCGCTATTTATTCCTTCATCAATGTCGTTTGTGTAAATTGTGAACAACAGCGGGCCCAACACTGACCCCTGAGGAACACCGCTTGTGACGTGCCCCCATTCTGATTTCTCCCCATTTATGCAAACTCTCTGCTGTCTATTTGTCAGCCATGCCTCTACTCAGGAAAAAATTTCTCCTATTCCGTGAGCCCTAAGTTTCCTCAATAGCCTTTGGTGTGGAACTCTATCGAAAGCCTTACTGAAGTCCATATACACAATATATTCATTACCATGATCTACCTCCTCAAACACCTTAGTGAAAAAAGTTAGTAAATTCGTAAGACAGGAATGCCCCTTTGTAAAACCGTGTTGAGAATCATTAATCAATCTGTGCCTGTCAAGATGGCTATGAATTGCTTTGGCAATTATTGATTCCATCAATTTTCCCACTATAGAGGTAAGGCTTATTGGTCTATAGTTCGAAGCCAAGGACCTATCACCTGCCTTGTAAATAGGTATTACATTTGCCATTTTCCACTTATAAGGCACTATGCCAGTTTGTAGTGATACGTTAAAAAGATTAGCCAAAGATATGCTAAGTTCCTCTTTACATTCCTTTAACACCCTTGCAAACAGTTCATCAGGACCTGGGGATTTGTTTGGTTTTAGTTTCTCTATTTGTCTGAGGACCATGTCACTAGTTACCGCAATCATACATAGTTTATTATCATCCTGTTCTACGTAATCTATTATTTCAGGAATATCGCTAGTATTTTCCTGGGTGAAAACTGAGAGGAAGTAGGTATTTAGAATTTCACACATATCCTTATCACTGTCAGTGATCTGACCAGAGTTACTCTTAAGTGGGCCAATCTTGTCCCTATTCTTACTTCTGTATATCTGAAAGAACCCTTTTGGGTTAGTCTTTGAATCCCTTGCGACCTTAGCCTCATAATCTCTTTTTGCTTTTCTTACTCCTTTTTTTATTTCTCTCTCTAATTGAATATATTGATTTCTTAACTGCCCATCTCCTCTTTTGATACGCCTATGTATGCCTCTCTTTTGACCAATGAGATGTTTTAATCTATTGTTCATCCATTTGGGATCATTTTTGTTAGATCTAATTTCCCTACTTGGAACAAAAGTTGTCTGGGCAGCTAGAACTATGCTCTGAAAAACGTCATATTGGCAACCAAGATCACCTACCTGACCCATAGTCAGGACATCCCAATTTAGCCCACCCAAGTAATTTTTCAGTCCCATGAAGTCGGCCAAGCGAAAATCTGGGACAGAGATTTGATTGCAGTTATCTGGGTAATTCCATGATATATTGAAACTAAGTGATTTGTGATCACTTTCCCCATGCTCATCATTAACCTCAAGACTATTAATTAGTGAATCTTTGTTGGCAAGAACCAAGTCAAGCAGATTGTTTCCTCTAGTTGATTCTTCAAAACCTGTTCTAAAAAGCATTTGAACCTATAAAGAAAGTACTAGACTCAAATTTCTGTTATTGCCAAATCAATTTGTCAAAGTTAAAATCCCCCATTAACAAAACATTTTCAATCAGATGCCTTATAATTTCGCCCAAAAACATTACTGCACTCCCTATAAATTTTTGGGGGGGCCAAAAAATCTTTTATTCCCTCATATGCACTGCAGGGGAATTTTTTTTTTCATGCTTCAAGGGAACTTTTATTAGGCATTTTTATTAGACTTTATTTTATTATGTTTTATTTTTTTATTATTATTATTATTATTTTTATTATTATTATTCCCCTCCTCTTTTTCCTCCTCTTTTCCCCTTTTTTATTCTCCTTTTTTTTCTCCTTCTCATTCCCCTTCTCAATTTTCCTTCTCATTCTCCTATTATTATTAAACTTCCAATACCCAAAAACTTGCGGGGGAATAAAATACTTTGTTTATATTCCAAGACAATAGTAAAGACCAAGGCAGGTGTAAAATTTCCACCCTGTCAGTGTGTTGTGAAATTTGGAAACCCAATACTAGTGTCAGAACAAAGATTGGGGTTTTGAAATGACAAGAATACTAAAATTGTAAATTTTTTTGAAAAAAAATTATTAAAAAAAATAAAAAAAAATAGAAAAAAAGGATATCGGGGAACACTTTTGCAAGCGGCGGATCCATGTTGCCTACATGACACCGTGCCAACTTCTCGGGCCCCTATCTCGGTAAGTACTACCCTAATTTTTTTTTTATTCTAAAACATTTTAAAAAAAAAGTGCTTTTTTTCTATGATTTTTTTTTTTTTTTTCGAGTGAATGTATATAGTGGACAGTTAAAGTGTTAAGGATTAATAATATTATCACTGAATTTAAAAATGCAAGTAATAATTGTGTATTATTTTACAACAGGTCAAAGAAGTGCTGTGGAACATCTTGCAGTTCAAAGAAGGCAGTTGACATAGAAGATTTAGGTGTATCTCTTCTACCAGCCGTAACCCCAGTAAAGACATAACCTTTCTCTGGTGTAGGATACTGTTTCAGTACTCAACATTGTGAAATGGTTTTCTAATATTTTTCTTTGATAAAACAGAAAAGTTAACATTCTTTCATCTTAGATGTATATAATAGTTTACACCCTGAATTATTGCTTCCATTGTATATGAAAATTGACTAAAACTTAATTCAAACTATAATTAGTACCATCCTTGCTTTAATGAATAATATGATCTCAAGAATTTCATTGTCTGGCCAAGAGTTTGTGGTTATGTATAAGTTTCATATATTTTTATATATGTTGTAAAAAGAAAACTATTTTTCATAAGCATATTTACATAAGAAAGCAGCTTCAAATTTATTTAAGGGCAAAGAAAAGTAATTTATTTTAAGTTTGTGACACTGAAATAGTTCACTTAAAACTCACCCTTGTTTAATTGTTTGTATTGTGGCCATTTTTATTTTTATGCAGTATTGCATATTAGAATACATTCATGCATTGAGAGAAATATGCAGTACAGTTATTTAAGAATGCTAATAAATTATTAATTTTGTTATTTTGTATTGAACCTTTTTGATCTTTTGAGTCTGATCTTTCTATTTCTAATAATGTACTGTATATATAGTACATACCTTTTTATTGTCATTTCATTCTCACAACATCCACACACATTTCAGAGCTAAAAAGCCCCACTGACGATGGTAATGCAAGCCAAGGAATTAATTATCCGAGTTTACTGATGTATGTTTAAGGGAGATGAATAGCTGGTTTTGGAATAAGACCTTGTTTTAGACCAGGAGGCCTGGTCTAGAACTGGGCTGTTGAAGCCATTTCATAAAAGTTGGACATGGCAGCATTTATTTCAAAAGTTGTCAATATTAGCAATCTCGAAATTATCTTTGATAATCAGAAATGATAAAACAATGCCAAATTGAATTTCTGGTAAAGTCAAATAATGTATAACATGTTTTATGATACTAAAAAAAAAAAATTTTGTCTTCAAATTTTTTTGCATTTTACATGCCTGGTGTGCAAAAATGGAAGTGATTTAACAAATGTTAGTTCATCCAAAAATCAAACAATGTCCCCTGAATAAACTGTGTAAAACTCGTAATGATCAGTTCATAGATAATGGTTGACTTTCAGAAGATATGCCAAAAATTCACTTCAAGAAAAATCTATAAATGTATTTAACTTTAGTATATGGTGTGTAAGAATACTCATAGTGCCTTTATATTTTTATTGAGAGTAGAACAGGTTGCCACAGAGGTGGTGGCCACTCCTGGGGTGGGCATGGAGGTGGTGGCCATGGAGTTGCTGGTGACATCTGCAGTGCTCTATTTTTTCTTCCTTTGTGTAGTGTGTGAACTATTGAACTTGGCACACATCTGGTCCGTATTTCCCGAGGGCTCCATCTATGCCCCTCGTTTCTTTCCTCAAAGTCTGCCAGAGAGTTAGTACCCTTGGACTTTTCTTCTCTCAGAGAAGAACAGTATAATGTGCCTTTTACACTTCAAGAACTGGAGGCAACGCTCTCAGCTTGCCGATCATCGGCAGCTGGGCCTGACGACATTCATATTCGTATGTTACAACATTTACATCGGTCAGCCCTTGTAGTCCTCTTACACCTCTTCAATCTTATTTGGGCACAAGGAGTTCTTCCCCAGCTGTGGAAATCTGCCATTGTTCTCCCTTTCCGCAAACCGGGTACTACAGGACATGATGCTTCCCACTATCGCCCCATCGCTCTTACTAGTGCAGTTTGCAAAGTGATGGAACATCTCGTAAATCGACGTTTAATGTGGTATTTAGAGACACACAACAGTCTCTCCGCTAGTCAATATGGCTTTCGTAAGGGTCGTTCTACCATAGACCCCTTACTACGCTTGGATACGATGTTCGTAATGCCTTTGCGAATAATCACTCAGTTATTGCCATATTTTTTGACCTTGAGAAGGCATATGACACAACTTGGAGGTATAATATTTTGGCCCAGGCTCATTCCTTAGGCCTCCGAGGCAATCTACCATCCTTCCTTAAGAACTTTTTAACTGACAGACATTTCCGTGTTCGAGTCAATAATGTTCTTTCCCCGGACTTCGTCCAAGCTGAAGGTGTCCCTCAGGGATGTGTTCTAAGCACAACACTTTTTCTCCTTGCTATAAATGATTTGGCCTCTGTTCTTCCACCCAATATTTGGTCATCACTCTATGTTGATGAATTCGCTATTGCTTGTGCAGGCGCTGACTGTCATCTTATTGCAGTTTCTCTCCAGCATGCGGTCGACCATGTTTCCACTTGGGCCACCACGCGCAATGGGTCCGAAAATTTGAAATTCGAACTGAACTCCCTATGGTGGATAGAGTAACTCAATACAAGGTCACTGATCCCATATAAATTGATTTCTGATGGTTAGTTTTCGAGCAATTGCTAATCTCCGGAGACCGAAAATATCCGGCTGCGCCCGACAAAGGGATTAAAAAATTTTATGTTGCAAAACTTGCAATTGTTAATAAAACACACCAAAACAATTTTTTAAATTTAATATACAAACAGACAATATAAAAAACATAAATGGAACTTGAATCAAAACATTTTTTAATTGTTACAAAAATATAAAAAGGAAGCAAATCTCAACAATGACAAATTGCAAAGGGATGCAACTTTCAATCCCTATATTCCTGAGATTCATTTGGATGACCAATTATTCTATATGCTAATTGATGGTATGGTAGTCGCTGAAGCAATTTCTATCACTCTTTATCCAGATTTACTTTGCATACAGAACACTGGAATGAGGATGTGACCAATTTCTTCGAGTGGCTGCAATAGTTGCAATCGTAATACCTTACTTTTTCTTCACTAATTTCTGTTTTTTGGCTGGCCTTTCTTCCTCCTCATCATCACTTGACACCTGTGCATCCGGTGGCAAGTATTCATCACCACTATCCAGCAATTCTGGTTCATCTACCTCTGCTTCTGAGTCACTCTCTTCAGAAACGCAGACATACCTCGACCTGCTGGTGGACTGCTCCCCATAAAACAACTTCTCATTGATCTGGAAGGACAATAGAAACCTCCTGTATAGATCCAGACCACTACAGAGTTCATATATGCAATTGAAATTTTTTTATAAATATTTATTTGACTAAAATTGGACATTCCCGGAAACTCGTGCAAGACCGAAATAATTCGGTATAAAATGTTTGCACTTTTTTCAACTGCATGCTACACTCATATTATGCTTCACAACGGACTTTAGGTATATATCAAAATATGCCTAAACTATTCATGTAAGCACTAAACACAACAATCAGTACTTACCGACATTGTAGAATGTATAATCCAAGAGTAGATTAGTAAGGGTGGAGGGAAAAATGCGTGTGTGGGCGGAGCCAAGCCACCAGTGTTTATATTTTGATCTCTCAACCAATGGGAAGGCGGCAGAAGCGAACTGTACTTAGCTGAAGAGACTCAGGGAAGGCTTGTGATTGGTTGGAACTAAAGAACGGGAAGCTGGCCGCGCGGGGCACGGAGTATGACACGCCCCCAAAACACGTAATTAATACCGAATTTTTCCGGCCAAACACGATAAAGGGTTAAATTTTCAAGTACCAAAACTCAACAAATTACTTTCACTAGACGCTCTGTTATCTCCGATCATCCTTTGTATCTCTATGGCTCCCGTATCCCCGAACTTGATAGTCAGGTTTCTAGGCCTTCTCTTTGACCGTCGGTTTGATATGCCTCATAACAGAAGCAGATTGTCACCACCATTGTCTGATCGCCGTGTGCCATTGCCTTCGGCTATGTCGAACTCTCTCGATCTTACAATCCTTCCATTTATAGAATGATCACCGATATTAGTAGACTTCTTTATTCGTTCGCCGCCCTGTTTGCTCCTCCTTTTCTCTTCACCTACAAATTTACTTTTGTCTTCCTTTCGTTACCACCTTTAATGTTTCATGTAGCATTCCACTTTTCCTACCTCCCCCTGGAAGTTCCAGCTTTCGGGTCTTGTTCCTTTCCGTTCACATCCCTTGCTCGAAAGAAGTCACAACTAGGCTCTACGTGGTTCCCCCGCTCTCCTTTTCTTCACCACTTCCACTTCCCCTCTCATGCCACCGCTGTGTACAGTCATGTGCTCTATGTTTCTGACCGCCCTGGATTCGCAGCTGTGTTTTCCGACAGCGTCGTCGAAAGGACATATACTATCTTCAGCTAGCCATTTTTACTGCTGAACTGTATGCCATTCTTGCAGCCACTTTACAGTATGGCATCTATCCTGTGTCATATTTGTAGTAGTCTCAGACTCCTTATGCTTACAGGCTTTATCGAACAATTTTGATACTATCTCCATCCCCTAGTTTCTCCGTATCCAACTTTGGCTAAACGGTCATATCTCTACCAAACATAAAGATATTGTTTTTTGTTGGGTCCCTGGTCATGTCGTCGTACAGGGCAATGAACAGGCAGACACTGCTGCGCGGTCAGCAGTACATGACCTACCAATTTCCTATCGAGGTGTTCCATTTCTGGACTATTTTGCTGCAATAGCTACCCACCTTCGCACCCGTTGGCAACAACGTTGGTCAACTCTGCTCGGTAACAAACTTCATTCTTATTAAACCGAGCATAGGTTACTGGCCGTCTTCTTGTCATCATGTCGAGGTTGGGAGACCACTCTCTCCCGCCTTCGCATTGGTCACACTCGTCTTACTCATGGGTATCTCATGGAGAGGCACCCTGTTCCTCTCTGTGAGCAGTGTCAAGTTCCAGTATCGATTAGCCACATTCTGTTAGACTGCCCTCTCTATCAACGACACTCAGAATTTACCTCCAACTTGTCTTGTT